CGGTCTGTCTGGGCCCTCGCCTCCCGCGGGCGGTCCCACCGGGGGGGGGGGATCCCATAGGCGCCCCCCAAGACTAGTCATAAACACCCTCCTGTACCCTGAGGCTGCAGCCCCTTAGAGGGGAAAACACCCCACCCTGCACTAGCGTTGCTCCCCCAGTCATACCAATTTTGCCAGCTTTCCTTCCCCTAATTGTCACCACTCCAGTTCCAGCCAATGGGAATCCACGCAGCTCAATTCCCTCCCCCTTCCGTGTTCCTGGATGACCCCCCAATATTCCCAGATTCTTCTGGACCTCCACCCCGGGCTCAGCCTTCTCTTCCCTGACCCATTCTCAGAACACTCATTAGAATCAGGTATTTTTCGTGATCTCTTTCTCTGCAAGGTCACAAGATTTTCCTTCACCTTTCAGTTCAGTGGTTGGGAGACTTTGGGAAGGAGGGACTGGACTTCGGAAAGCCAGATCAGTCAAGTGTTTTAAGAGGCCAAAATTTTCTCTTGCTCTCAACTGAGACCCAAGACCCACGGCCGAGGAAATGAGACCAGCACGTGCTTTCGTCCTTCCAATCCCGTCGTGCCCTTGATTCTCAGGCTCCGGAGGGTCTCCTGGCCGCCACAGCAAGGTTCACTAGGGTGAACTCGGGCACAGCCACAGAAAGGTTCCCTCTAAAAAGGCCTTAGAAGAGAAACGGACACCGACAGGCTGCGGGGCAGAGTTCAATGGGGAGAGAGGTAAAGGACAACCGGGGAAGGAAGCAGGTTCTGTGAGACGAAGGCCCGGACGCCAGGGGCCTGGGCTGAGCGCCCAGGGCGAACTGTCTGAGCCGGACTCGCACTCTGAGGGGCAGAGGACGGTGCTCTCCGCGCCCAGGTCAGGCCTCCCCTCGCCGACCGCGGACAGTCAGACCCGACAGCAGTCTCACCACGAGCCAATCACAACCTTTCTTCCAGAAAGAGGCGGGGTCAAGGGGACTGACTTTTTCCTTGTCCCTGCCCCTCGGGGGAAGTAACCAATCGCAATACACCTAGAGCAAGTAAGCGCAGTCGGGAATAACCAATTGCGCCGGAAGCTTCTCGTGCAGGCTGGACCCTGCCCCTCCAGCTGCGACAAACGTGACACGCGAGCTCCTGGGTTCGGTAGTTTTCTGAGCGCTCGAAGCCTTGCCCCCCCCTACCGCCCCCGCTGGAGTTAGTCCTACCGCCCGCCCCGCCGCTTCCACGCTGCTACTGCGCATGCCCAGAGCTTCCCCCACCCCAACCCCCACCCCCCGCAGCCAGGGGAGAGGAGGCGCGGAAGGAAGGAGGCGGGATAGTATTTAAAACAAACAAACAACCCACCCTCATCCCCGGGAGCGGCGGTGTAGGGGTCCGCTCCTCCCAGAAGGCGGTGCTGCCTGCGAGGGCGGACCACGCGGAGGGTTGTGGGGCGGATAGCTCCCCTGCTGATGGAGACTCATAGAGTCGGGTGGGCGGGGGGACTCCATATCCCAGAATGCCCCACGGCGGGCCCGACCGGCCGCGACTCCGGGCTTGGCCCCGGCCCTAGCCTGTCGGCGGTGTATTGGGGCGCGTGGAGGCAGAAGTCACGGTGGCGCCCGCGGGGACGGAGGAGGGAATGAGTGAAGAGGAGCAGGGCTCCGGCACTACCACGGGCTGCGGGCTGCCCAGGTGAGCGGCCTTGCATCCATCACTGCAGGGCGAAGAGCGTGGCGCTGTGCGGAGGGGTAGCGGCGCGGCCCCAGCATGCACCTGGCCTGAGGGTTGTTCCCGGCAAGCACTGGGGTAGTGGGCCGTGGTTCCCGGCATTCACCCGAGCAGTGGCCACTGCCTCCAGCTCGAAATAGTTTGGGGCTGGTCCGGTTCCCAGACTGCACTGGGGCATTGGGCTTCATGCCCCCGACTTTCAGTGCATTTGGTGGGTAACTGGGTTCTTGGCCGCACTGTGTTAGGGGACATGCACTTCTAACCTGCACTCGGGTACAGGATCCCCCGCCTTAACTGAGACAGGAACAGTGCATTCCCCGCTTGCCCTAGGGCAGTGGACCCTGCTTTCCCAGCCTGCACCTCTACACATTGAACCTAGCCTGTGACTGCTGTACTGCCTGGGGTCCCCTGGACCTTGTGACCCCCATAGTGTGCCTGGGTCTGATATAGCCGTGCTTGGCCAGGTGGGTGCAGAGAGGGGAGGTGTGATGAGGGTCTGTGCCCCTCCCCCCAGTATAGAGCAAATGCTGGCAGCCAACCCAGGCAAGACCCCGATCAGCCTTCTGCAGGAGTATGGGACCAGAATAGGGAAGACGCCCGTGTACGACCTTCTCAAAGCCGAGGGCCAAGCCCACCAGCCTAATTTCACCTTTCGGGTCACCGTTGGCGACACCAGCTGCACTGGTGAGGAAGGTGTGGGCCAGCCTTGCTGGGGTGTTCATTCACAGGGCCCCGCTGGCTTTATTTCTTGGAGTCTCTTCACAGTCCTCTTCTCCAAGAGCAGTGAGGGAGGGGGAGGTTTCAGGGGGAAAAGCCACTGACTGGATTGGGAGAACAGGTCTGTGAGGAGGTGGGTAGGACTTGGGAGAGTTAGAGGAGCAAGCAAGATTGCCACAGTGATCTGACCGGTCGTCAGCATCCTAGAGGAAAAGGAGATAAACCGAAATCTCAGCGAAGTTTGGGGAGTGAGTGTCAGCTCTGCTGGGCTCTGTAGCAGGTGCTTAATTAAATTCCTGTTTAGTCTAATCCAGTGATGTAGGTGGTCATTCCCTCATGTTGAATAGGAGGAGACAGGCTCAGAGGGATTCAATGACTGGTGCAAGGTCCCATTCTTAGTAAGTCAGAGCCAGGCTTTGACGCTAGAACCTCCCTTATTTCTATTTCTCCAGCCATTTCTATTTACTGAGAGAAAGTGCTTCCCAAAGGAAAGTAAGGCAGAAAGAATCTCCACCCAGGGTGCCTGAGCTTGGGAGCACTTCTGTCTGGCATGGCTTGACTTGGGGAGCTCCCAGAACACTTCCAGTCTTGGACAGGGGGGGGTCAGTGAGGAGGAGCTTGGTTGACTCGCTGTAGCTGTGAGGAAAGAGGCTGTGGGATGCTGGTTTCTCTTCCAGTGACCCCCAGTATTGCCCACGCCCCCTCTCTCAGGTCAGGGCCCCAGCAAGAAGGCAGCCAAGCACAAGGCAGCTGAGGTGGCCCTCAAACACCTCAAAGGGGGGAGCATGCTGGAGCCGGCCCTGGAGGACAGCAGGTGAGGGAGGAACAGCTGAGGCATCCTAGAGGCCCTGCCAGGAACCCAGGCCCCTGCATCAGCCCCTTTGCCCAGTGGGCCTGACCTGGTGACACTGAGCCACCTTGACCTTCTCTTCCTGAGTTTCCTCTGGACCTGAGCAGGGTGCTTCCAGGGGGGAATGGCCAGCTCCACTGAGGGACTATGGCTGTGGTTTGGGGTTCAGGCTAAGGAGGGAGAGGGGTGGAGGCTGAGGCTGGAGGGAGTTGCCTTCTCTGTCTAGCAAGATATCCTTTCCTCTTCTGCACTGAGGTTGGAGTTTTTT